TGTGTTGATTGTAAACCTAATCTAAATTCTACCTTTAGTGGTCGAAAGAAAATATGTGTGTGTTACAATCATGTCTCCATTTACTATTGTTACTAACGTGAAAAATGTATCACATTACGACAAAACTCCTAAGAAAATGTTAGGCTATAATTGCGACTATAGTAAGACCCCAAAATACGCACAGTGAAGATATAGCAATAGTAGTGTGTGCACTATCTTTGATAGTGTGTAGTGCCAGTTACATTATAACAATCCACCCACATGTTTGCTAGACCTAAACGTTTACTTTGGTTTAATTGTATATTGTTTGACGAGAAGTGTCTGAATAATACAGTGATACTTTATACTGGGTAATTTGGATTGTCTGTTTCATTCAGACTTCCTAACTCTCCTTTGGTATTTATAGTGTGTTCGTAGAAAATATCGGTATCGTGTAAGAATAATTTCGTTTGGCATTAATATACTGTAAGCAGCGGGTGAAATCGTCACCACACGTGAGACATAGCATAACTTAAAAATTAGTAAAAAAAAAAGCTTTATTTTAGAAATTGTCGATATACAGTCAATTTTCTTTTTTTCCATCACAGAACGCTGAGAACGTATCCGAAATGGAAGGATTAACTACCGATTCCGCAGACGCCTTAACGCACACAATTATTATTGACTTATCCACGGTAAACTTCATCGATTCTACGGGGTTGAATGGACTAAGACTGGTTTTCAATGAATACAATAAAGTTGGAGTCAAGATATTACTTACACACTGTAGAAGTAAGCTTTTGTTCCTTTGTGTTCCTTCCTTCAATATAACATAAACATGCCACAGTGTCCACTTTGTAATTCCGTGTTTCGTGAGTTTCTGAAAGCAAAAATTACCATGCCAATCGAAAATCAAATTGGTAAACCGTATGGAGAGAAGTGGGTAACAAAAACTGCAGTGTCAGGTATACGTCCAGTGAATTACTAGACAGCCTTGGATAAACGTCTATATATCGTTCATATATTGTATTATGGGCAGTAGTATTGTATTTGTTATCCACTAGGCATTTTTGCACTGTTTTAACCTTAGTAGTATTGAACATTCATTTGGATTTTTGAGTTATCGAGTTTCCGCATGCACCTTGCCACTTCAAGCAGACACCCACCTCACCATGCCACAGTACCCCCCCATCCCTTCACAAAAAGGCGGATCCAAATAGAATTTACATGAAATATAAACAGTAATCACCTTTGTAAAATACCAATTACTACATAATTGAAAAAGAAAATACACCATGGATGGTGTGCAACGTGTCATAATATTGGTTCGTTTTATCCAAATGTTCTGAGTTGTCGATGAAACACATCTAAGTTCTGTTGTAAATCAAGCATTTGTGGCCACTGTATAACTACAGTTTTGCATATTTGATCGACCGACTTATTATATTTTCCCCTTTCAGAACGTGTTCGTGATTTTCTATTCAGATGCAATTTCTTTGATACTGTTCCAATTGACGCAGAGTCGTGTTTATTTGTAACCAACCACGATGCCGTTGTAAGTACAACGAATGAAACCGCAAATATGGTAAGTAAGCGATAACACAGAAACGTATTTCTTTGCGTTTAGTGGGTTTAAATGTTGGACTCGGTGTGATACTCGGTGTGCCATTACTGCCATCGCAAATATAGAGATTTCTTTCACGTACGCAATAAGTTTACAATTCTTTAAAACTTTCCATTACTAATTAACAATTTATACCTAAAGAGACATATAATTGTACCCGACTTAAATACAAACTTGAAATATGAATGGAAATCTGTCTCCATTATGCAATCGATGAAACTACAAAGATTGGGGGGGGGGGTCAGCGATTATGAAAATACTAATTTACGCATTATTCTGCGATTCTCTAGGATTAATATAGGAACTCTTATCTGCAGAAATTCGTAATTGTGTAAAACTTTTATATATGATAGGCCAATCACCTTATATAACGATTTACGTACACACCTAATTGTATATTTATTAAATGTGGACTATATAATTCAACAATATTTTTATTATTCATTTTATATTTATCTTCCAGAATAACATTTTGTCAGTAGAAAATCCTGATAATGGAATGACGTCAGCAAGTGATGTTAGAAAATCATTCTCTTTGGATGACATTAGTGACATTGAATACGCTGATGACAATACTGTTGAAATGACCAAGATAAACTGACAAATTCCAATCTTTCTCGCAGATTAAAATAAACAATTTCTGCAGAAAAAATCGCGATCTACTAATTTGGAACACTTATAACATTTCTAAATCGTGTGAAATGTGCTATATATCCACGTGATTTCCGAATACTAAATTTCAATATATTGTCAATATTCTTTAAAAAAAATGTTTTCGTATAATCTTTTCATTAGTTAACATCGTGATTAATTTTACAGATGTTGCCATTAAAACGGGGGAGTCATCACCTGCGCATGCGTCAGATAGTCTTAGCGTGTCATTGTTTACAAACAAGCGCCTACCCATGGGCCTTTGTGTTTTTGAGCATGTGTTGTTATCGTCGCTTGGGACTCAATTCCCGCGCGTGCGCAGATGACGACCCTCTCGCTTTAATCATGATGTGCCCCTTCAATCACGTTATTTTGCTCGTTTTTATTGTATGTATGACAACAGTTTAGGAGTGTTTATTATATATTTAAGGAGCATTTCTGCTTTTTCACTACCATGTGACATTTGTTTGTTGTTTTGTTGTCGATATATCCTGCATCGTAATTATACCCGACATTATACTAGTAGTTGTCTACGATAAAAAATATTATTTTTCATTTTAGTTTTTATTGACAATATTCCGTAATAATAATTGAATGTTTAGAATTTGTAAATGTAACATTTGTGTCTATGTGAACATTCAGTAATAATAATAAATACTGTGTCTCCATAATTTAGACGGAGCAGCAATCTGTCTAATGTATAATGTACGCAGGCGTTAATCGGTTTAGTAGATTTATATGGCTTGCCTAGGAATTATTTAAATCGCATGGATTTATCATATATATTACTGATCATATACAGGATAATTAATCCATCACAATTATTAAAAGTTATTCTTTTATTATATATAATAGTAATGATTTTGCAGTAATGTAATAAATATATAAATATTACAATTGTTTTCTTTATTACAAGTGTTTTGTTTTAATTTCAGTAAAATGTGTTATAAGATTTTCAATAACCTGCCTGATAGTAAGAAGTGTTTTATTTGTTATCCCCGTGAACTGCACTTACCATGTATTGTATACGCATCTTATATCGTCATAAACGTCATGGCAACAATTGACCATTTGTCGATCATACGCTAGAACAGATAACACATTTTAACATCACATTCACTGAATGTAGTATGACGACTCAAATCAGTTGATGACGACGCTGTACAAAGCATCTGTCACATATAACGGATTTATTGCTTCAAAAATCTATAAATTCGGAGTGGGTATAGAATTAACTGAAGCGACAATGAACCGTAAGACAAAATAAGTACAATTAGACGTCACGGAGTTATCGCGAGCTCTCTTGAAGCTCACAGTAGGATTCAAGAGCTAGTCGGGGATAAAAACGGCGGCATTCCCGGTGAAATCAACTTTATATGATCTACATTATGTGAGATACGTTTCATGACTCGTAGAAATTTAAAGGTCTTTTGACAATACAATTACTTTTAATCACTGGCACCTGAAGAAAAAAATGAAATTTTTGCAAAATTCTAGCTCCAAGTGACCTTGAAATTGTTCAACCTGCTACAGAACATTGGAACCAAACATCAAAACCATGACAACCCTTTCCTCTCCACGGGAGGTGAATACTTTACACGGGAACATTAATTAATAACTGGTTGTATGGGCTGACTTTTATCTTAGATGGAATTCCTCCAATTTCTAATAATTGTCCGAGATCCAATAGTTTTTATCTCCCTTGCAGAGCATTGATTTAAAGATTAAGTCAAGGTTAAATTCCCAAATGTAGATAGTCTCTTGACTTAACATTTTACATATAAATTGATGTGCCGCTAATATCAGGTTATTTCCCTCCCCTGTAAGGGTTTGGTAGATTTAAAGGAGGGCAAAGTGTAGTCAAATTTTACAAAACGAATACTGAAAAATATGACCCAACACGCTGCATTATCACAAAATCATTCAAGCTTACATGGCAGCTACACACAATTATTGCAGCCCACTTGAATTGAATGTGTAGGAGATCATCAATCACAATAGACACATCTAACAAAACAAATAAAACTAATTATACTACATTGCACAGTTATAAATTATTTAAAATGAATGAAATGAATTATTTGAAATAAATGAAGTCCCGCTTCATTCCATTTGTTCAGTGTATGCTTTTCACAGGAATTTGTTGGGGGAAAAGAATTGACAATTTTCTTCAAATTTTTTCCTGTTACTAGTATATTATTGAACAAATAACGTATGGTACACGTCTCAATAATATACGCCGAATAAATAAATAAATAAATAAGTAAATAAATAAATAAATAAATAAATAAGTAAATAAATAAATAAATAAATAAATAAATAAATAAATAAATAAATAAATAAATAAATAAATAAATAGACAGTATAATAAATTTGACAGAGTGTTCACGTGATAATGATTTCAACGAATGTAGCAAAAAAACACTCACTTCTGTATTCTAAATAGTGCTGTCACATTGAAAAGATTGGATTAATTACACGGCTGGGGCTTTCCGTAACTCGCGGCTCCCATGTACAACTATCCATGGTCTTCTTCTATCTAAAACGCTAGATGGCGCGCTGAATTTAGTTTAAAGCGAGTAACATAGTCATGCACATAGAGGCGACAAATAATATGATAATAAACTACTCTAAATTTGTTTATTTTTACTCCAAAAGAAAGCTATAAGAATTGTTACAAAAGAGGGATAATTTAGCCATACAAAACCATTATTTTATAAACTAAATGTGTTAAATATATATGACCTAATTGAATTAAGAACCATGCTTGTAATGTATATTATTTATCATTAAAAAAAGTCCCAGAAAAAAATCTTGAAGTACTTTACAAATACCCATGAAGTACACAGCCATAGTACAAGACAACATTTAGATTTCTGTATAAAATATAGAAGATCTACTCTCATCTCAAGTCAACGTGTATGTCATGTTATGGAGTCAATCTTTGGAATTATATCAAAAATGATATTAAATATTGCCATAGTAAAAAAATGTTGAAACACTTCTATGTAAAGAGTCTGTTAGATAAATACAATATCCAATAACTGCAGTAACTTAGTAGCTATTTAATGTTTAATTTATTTTGTCAATTATTTCACTTTTATTTCATTGTATATTATTTACCAGGACCTTGCCATACCAAAATCATCACATCCCCTATAGTCACAATGTATACAGGTGGCAATGCTTCTTGTTGCCCCTTTTCTATAGCTATATCTTTCTGCTTGTAATTTCAATTTGTATGTCACATTTAGCGCTATAGAAATAAAAGGCGTTGTTATTGTTATTGTTTAAGGGTTAGACTGATGGTTTCCTTTCACCCGTGGTTCCCAGGTTCGTCAAGTTCTGGTTAGTTTCTACCGCACTGTATCAGTAGTAACGCTAGATGGCGCACTGGATGTCGTGAACGCGATTAACAGAATCATGCATATAGAAGTAGTGGAAGTTAAACATTATATATTCAGTAAGTGCCTGAGATAATACATCATATGCCCGGGGACGGAATGCACCGAGGTCCTTACTAGGTGGTAGCCGTACTGTGCGCTGCGTCAGAGATGAAGCAGACATATTAGGACCCAAAACAAACGTCCAATTTCAGTAAGTACAATATTTCTAAACTTTTCATCAAAGATACATTGTAGTAAGTAATTTCACAGAAACATTCTGAAGATTTGTTTCGCCTTCTTCAAAATCTTGTTCGTGTCCAACGCCATAGTGGAATTTAGCGTTTGCTACTGAGCCTGGACTCGTCTAGATTTCTTGCCATTTTAACAAAAATCTTCCGATCGACGTCATGCAAAATCACTTCACGAGAAAGACAAATAAGCCACGCCGTATTACGCAATTTGCGAAAACGACAAGATTCCAAATAAATTTTCAAATTAGTTTTTTTCTGTGGTACAATAACGAATACTTCCAAACATGCTTTATGACACTGATTAGTTTATCTTTTAGGTGATTCGTGCTGGGTTCAGATTAGTTAAATAATACCTCCTGTTATCTTCTAACCTCAGCTGGGTACGAAGAGAACAATACGTAACCACACTGTACTCTTATAAACATATTTTTCCCTATCGTGACGACGTGAGGGCATCTAGCCGTACCGTACCAGAGTTCGGACAAGTACGCTATGGCAGTCATAAACCGTCCAAAACAACTACCTCTACAATTACAATTACAACAACAACATTTTGTAATAATTTGGTTTTTGTATTCTGGACTAGCAAACCGATTTATGACTGATCAGATCATGAGAAACACACACAAAAAACAAGAAAAATGAAATGTTGTCTGTTTGCATAACTCCAGTCTCTCCTGACCTATGTGTGAGTGTTGCATGTGTTAGTTGTGTAATGTAAACGAATGATCTATTCTGCAATACTATAATTCAATATTTTATCTACAGATTGTGTTCCGACCACAAATTCCTGGCCAGAAATGGCTTCTTCGGCATCGTTAGAATACTTGGTAACTGGCGACGAGCTGGCTAATAGAGAGAACCAATCGGTGCAAAACGGCTTTTACGAAAACAACGATAACGTAACAAAAAATGGGAGCATAATTGGAAAAGACAATGACTACGACGGCATACAGGTCGTCACTGGTCAAGGAAATGAGGATCAGACTGGGCAGCTCCGGAGTTACCAAATAAACCGACCTCTGTACAGCGAGCAAATATTCCATAGTGAATACAAGGCAAACGAGTTTGAGTACGTTCCGTACGGCCAAAGAATTAAAAAGAAGGTACAGAAGTGTAATTGCGGTCCCAAGTGCTGCAGAGGATGCGTGGTGGCTACGATACCGATAGCAGGGTGGTTGCCTCATTATGTCGTGAGAAACCAACTGTTGTCGGATGTCATATCTGGTTTAACGGTCTGCGTTATGAATATACCCCAAGGTAAGGGCAAGCACCGAATATTTGATTGTCGAAAGGAATACAACATACCAAAGCATGTGGAAATTTCATACACAAAAATCCCAACACCATTTTTTGTTATTAAATCTAACAACAGATTAAGACATGGCACGTTAATCCAAATCTAACGTAATTTTAAATCTATCATGACGAAATTTCAAAATTGCAACATTTGGCCTGGGAAAACAATTCTTAAGCTTTTGGGTCGATTTAGAGGACTCCAAAAATGTACATTACTATGCATGTGTGCGAATTATTTCGTTGACAATGTAGCTATGCGTTCCCATGTACGTTTCCAGCCAGGTCTGCTTGGTAACACACGCGTGGTAATCGACAAAGGAGCTATGTACATGCTTCAATATAATCATATTTCAATTAAAATAAAACCATCAAGGAGAATACACTGAACTATAGTTTTCATTTGACCAAAGTTACATATATTTGACACTAAGTTTATTTAATTAGGCTTTATTATCACGTGACATCAACGTGTCATATATGCTACCAACTGTGGAATTTCTTTTTTGTACGAAACATTTATAGCTAAGCCAGTAATCTTGTGTAATCTACTTTGTAGAGCAAAGGTACAATTTTTGCAAATAGAAGCTGATAGAAAGACTGACCCCTGGGGTGACATATGGATTGTCCTATTTGGTATATTTTTATTTAGGGGTATTTACGTGTGATAAGTACAACCACAGCTTATATTATTCATGTATATTTCAGAATTGCTGTTTATTCCCGCCGTGCAAATAAAACTTGCATAATGCCATTTTAATCATTTGAATTGAGTACAGAATAGCATTTGTAAACAATTTTTCGTTGTTAGCAAATCTCCCCCAAGAAAAAAACAACCGAAGAGGTCACTTGAAGCATGGTTGTTGTTGCATCGAACTCATGATAGGTAGACCCAGATTCAAATCCCTTCTTAGGCTGAACACCGAAAAGTAACGACCTTCTACCCTGGATGAGTGTGCCACAGGATCATCATTACGGCTTCTGTGGCAATGACAACCAAAACGACGGGGAGTAGAATAGCAAGTCAGGCAGGCCAAAATTGTTTGTCGAAATGTACATTGAAGCTGACGGACAACGGAGTCCAGAGTCTCATGAAATCCTACAAGACCTCACCCCAGTGGCATTATTAATTTGGAAAGTTAGAACTTTAAATAGCAGAATATATGAGTACTGGTACTTATTAATACGTATATACGTCTATTTAGGTATGGCATATGCTATGTTGGCATCAGTGCCCCCGGTATATGGTCTGTATCTGGGTTTCTTTGCACCCATCGTGTATGCTGTCACTGGTACATGTAGAGAGTTGGCCGTAGGTAAGTCTAGGTCAAGCTGTTCAGCGTTGACTTGATGTAACCTGTATCGTTTATAAACATGTTCTTCTGCTGTAGCACCAGCGATACCTTGTGTATATTAATTCGCAAAACTACCAATGACGCCCTCTAGCGCCGGGACCTAGGTAGAGAAAAGCAACGTTTTTATGTAGATGTAATTTGAGTAAATCGTCGTTTAGAATATAATATAAACTCTCCTCAGGACAATGTTTTTATTGACGAGCGACTATCGGATATACATACAATAATGTCGCAGTGAAAGGTATTTATCCATTGACGGCACATAAACTTGTTTTCGCTAGAGGGCGTAACTTAGTGGAAAAGTGAATGAACTAATAGTATGTGTCTTTAAGTTATTTCAAACGTTGTTAGTGGGACCACGGTGATGGGAAATAATGGCATGTAATCATATTTTTAATTTAACTACCCTTTCAAGGTACGTATTCTGTAATAAGTATAATGGTGAGTGCGGCTATAGAAAGTGTGGTACCGCTATATCCCGTCGACCAACCACCGCCGACTGGTTTTTTCAACAATACGAATACAACAGCTACTAGTATGCCGGAATGGGACAGAGAACAGGAATTAGTAGACGCTGCTATTATACTGGCACTTCTAGTTGGTATTATACAGGTTAGTATTGCCCAGTGCCTTTGTGATAACGGCATTTATATCAGTCGTATGTCACGTGGCTCATTGGTCGTGTGTTATTTCTAAAACTTCACACTTTTTAGTCTATGTAGGTTAGTATTAGTAATCTTCGCAGTTCATGAATTTGGTTCGTTGATTAGTGTTACGCACACTTAGTAACTTAGCTATTTGCTAAGTATCAAATTTAGAATTTTAGAGCTGAGTGAAAGTGAATTTTGCCCAAGCTAAAACATTAAGTCAAGGTGGTTTTGTGTATCAATTGTTTAG